ATTTCATCTGTGGATGTAGCCTGAAAAGATGAACCATAAAAAATATCGGTGTCAGTAAGTTATTTACTTTATTAGGATGTTTTTCTACTCATATACACATACACATTGACTTTTGGCATATTTTTGTGTCTCATATATTCACATTCTGCTGCAAGCATCCGCATTCGTGCGAGAGAGCTCTAATTGGGTGAGCCCAACAACTGTCTACAACAAAACAAACTTTAACAGCAAAAAACCTATATAGGTTTTAGAGAGAGACCAATGAAGCTCCAACCACAATGTTTAGAAATAGACCAAAATCATCTGAAAGTTTTAAAGAGAGATTAAAATCCATCAGAAAATTGAACAATATTTAAAGAGGGGTTGAAGAAAGCCAATATCAGGAATTCTAAAGAGAGAAACAAATAGAGGAAGGCCAAGAGAGAAGGATTAGCATACTGGTTTTGATGGCGAGAGAGAAAATCAGAGGTTCCTTGATGGCGAGAGCTAGAGAGCAGGGCTCGTTGATTGTGAGAGCAGAAACCGTGTTTTGGAGAAATTAGGGGTAAGCAGAAATTGCGATTTGGAGAAATTAGGGGTAAGAGGCAATTCCATGCTTTTTGGGGGCCGGGGGAGGGGGGAGGGGGAGAGAGAGAGAGAGGGGCGAGAAAGAGAGGGGCTCACCAGGTTTGCCAGGTTTATGACATCTTGAGCGAACTTGAGAGAGGGATAATAGTTATTGGGGTAGGCATTTTTTAGCGAGAGATACATAAGCTTTTTTTATAGAGAGAGACGCATGCAATAGATTATCTGTAAGCTCGTGATAGATTTTTAGCCCTTCCCGTGCATATTGGGTTTCATGATATTTGAGGAAATATCGTGTAATCTATTTTTATTTTTCTTACTATTAAAGTGTACCCAAACAATCTAAATATCATATTTTCTTGTAATATATTTTTTTGTAATAGATTTACAGATACCCAAACAGCTCCTAAATATTTCGATAGTCTAAGTTAACATTTGTAATAAAAAAAAAAATCAACCGAAACATCAATTAGCGCATGGATACATATCGGCAAATGTAAATGGAGAGGGAGAGAGAGAGACTAGCTACAACATTCTTGAATGGAGCCGCTTATTTTGCTGACTTTCAACAAAGAGAGAAGATTTCATGCTTTTGCTGGAGCATATTATACATCTGCCTCCTCAAATAAAATCTAATATAAGAGTAATTTTAGGGCACCAACAATTTTGCGGATGTAACAAGACCGACTCATAGATTAACCTTGAAGACGAAAAATTTCAAATTCTACTCTATGCACTAGAAAAATATAATATCTCAAGATTGAACTACGACCGTCCAATTTTTTGAGGAAGAGATGCAAATGCTAGAAAACTTAAAATTTAAATTTCTCTTTCTAAACTAATCATCTAATAATTCTTACTTCCCAAAATTTTATATATAAAATTTCTCTCAAATAGATTTTTTGCCTGAGGGAGCAGATAGATAACATATGCTCCCATAAGAGCATGGTATACGCGCCCATAGATAAACGTTTGGCCCCTTATATATGTCTCACATACTTTGGTCGCTTTAAATGCACGCAAGTGGACATGCACGTACGCAAGAATATGCTTCCACCGCTACGGCTCAAAATTTAAAAAAAAAAAAAAAAAAAATGAAGAGAGAATCTGCTTCTACAACTTCCATATACCATTAAGGGAAAAGTTTATATAGAGCCATGGATCTAACCAATCAAATTAGAGGCTACCTCAAAAATTTCATTAGAAGAGGTTATTTTGATGTTCAAATATCCTCAAATTGATCATCTCGACATCAAGATGCATGGACATAAAAAAAAAATAGATTTCAAGTTTTAAAAATAGTTTATTTTGTAACGCATTTTTGGACTGTAAAGTTTCAAAATTTTTATAGATATGTCGATCTATACTATTTTTTAATCTTTAAACTTTATAAATAAAGATGGAGTAATGATCCTATGAGACCCTCCTACATCCATGTGTGTAGGATCTCAAAGGATCACCATTAAATTTGACACAGATCTCTAGAAAAGTTATCACATGGGTATGTAACTTGACTTTTCTAGAGATATTTGTCAAATTTAATGGTGATCCTTTGGGATCTTACACATAAGTGTGGGATAGTTTCACAAGGTCATTTCCCATAAAGATAAAAATATATTTTAAAGATATCAAAAAGATTTCCACTAATAAAACCACATTTCTCGACACTATTTGAAGGGAGGCTCTAATTTGATTGTTTAGAGCCTAAGTTCTATAGAAACCCACCCTACTTTTAAATCTCTTTTTATTATTTATCTTTAGAAAAATTTTATTTAGGGCCCATTTTCTAAACAATGAAATTAGAGCTCACCTCAAAAATTTCATTAGAAAAGTTTGTTTTGATGGCCAAATATCCTCAAGTTGATCATCTCAACATCAAGATGCATGAACATGATAAACAAATGAATTTCACGTTTTGGAAATAGTGCATCTTGTAATGCATTTTTGGACCATCGATTTTCAAGTTTTTCAATTTTTTATAGATCTGCTTGTTCTACATTATTTTTGAAGCTTTAAATTTTATAATTAAAAATAAAAATATATTTTAAGCCTATCGCAAAGTTTTCTAGTATTGAAATGGTATTTCCCGATACTATTTAAAGGTGGGCTTTACTTGATTGTTTAGAGCCTCGGTTGTATACAAACCACACCCTTTATTTTTCCCGTCTCTCCCACAACTTACGAAGCAGTTTTAAGTTTCTCCATGTGAAAAAGGAAACTACAATTTAAAATTTAATAACAATGATTAGTAGTCATCAAAAGTGTGTAATTAAAATGATGGTTGACCTTTGATTGCGTCTTCTGAATATTGTTGGCCTCATCATGCCCATTGAAGCTCATCATGTGAGTGAGAGAAGCTTTCTTAGAGGCCTTGAAAACTCAATTTTATGCTCAGGAAAAACGTTATAATATCAAACAGGTGCTTGGAATGGATAAATCTCTTCTTGGGACTTTTACGATGAAAGTACTAATCTTTGCAACGGGTGGCAAAGTACTCGACCATACCTGGGACCTGAGGAGTAGATCTGATCTTGGGTCCTGCCATGGGTAAAAAATTTAGACCCAAAAAGTCAGCTATGAGTGTCAAACTTGCATCCGAATACTATTCAGAACCGTGTCCAACCGAACCCGACCCGAATAATAAGGGTACATGTGTGTATTTATAAATATTGCCAAAACATTTGTTTTTTTAGGAATTTTAAGTTATTACATAAATCAGCAAGGAATGTGGATATGTGTGGGCATCCATAAATGTTGTGCTATACTGTAAATGTTGCCAACAATATAGGTGTACGATGGTAAAAAAAAGGGCAAAAAAATGAAAGAAAAGAAACTCATAGTCATAATGTGGTAATGAACCAACCAAACCCAGGACACGACGGGTAGATCAGACCTCATGTCCGAGTATAGGTCCAAATTTTTGAACCAAAAGGTCGGGTCCAAGTTCAGCCAGACCCGATCTGTTGCCACCCCCACCTCGAAAGCCATCCGAAGTAAAAAGCGACTGCTAAATGAGCTCTTCCTTTGCTCGAAGTGGGTCAAGGATAGGGTTGGCAATGGGTTGGGTAACCCGGCCCTAAAAAATTAAGGCTTGGGGCACAAAATGTGACCCCTAAAAAATTAGGGCTTGGGCCACAAAATGTGACTATCTTTGCTATTTGAAAAACATGAGGCTCGCATAATCGCATCGTATCATTTCCTTTTCAATTTTGCTACCATTTTGTTCTTTTTCTTCTATTTTGCTGCCAAATTAAAAGTATACTCGCTATTAATTTTAATATTATTGCACATAAAACTTTTAGGGATAGTTCATCCAACTTGAATAATGTAATTGCTTACCACTAACCCTTAAATATAAACAAAAAATAGAGATGTTGTTTTAAGTGTCAGAACTCTTATGATCGCTTGAAATTTTATTCTTATCCTTAATTATAAAATTTTAAAAATAATACAAACTGAGTAGATCAAAAATATTTGAAAATCTTAAAAATCGACAATCTAGATAATTTGTTACAAGATGCACTATTTTTAATATTTAGTTTTATTTTTTCTCTTCAAATCTATATATCTCTAGGTCGAGATGATAGATTAAAGGGTTCTCAAACACGAAAATAGTCTCTTTATAGGATACTTAAGGTGCACCTTACTTTAATAGTATAAAGTTGCAACCTTATATAAACTTTTCCTAAAAGGAAAAATGTGTGCCTTAAGTAGGTTTGACCATTTTTGTTTTTTTATGGTCCGATAATTAAAGTGCTTGTTTCAATAGTAAAACTTTGTTTTAGCAATTCACCTGCAATTATGCTGAGGTAAATATAAAAAAATAAATAATTTTTTTTGGATAATATTCAATGTAACCATTTACATTTCATACAAGGGGTTCACAATTACTTTTAACCATCCGATATGAAATCCAATAACTTGGATGCGTCACAATATTCAAATTTTTTTTTTTTAAAGTTTGAGTTTAGTGCATCCAAAAAATAGTGGTCACAAAAAATAATAATTGTGACCACCATATACCAAAGGTAAATGTTAAATAATCTCATTACATACTTTGGTACAAGGTGTTACAAGTAATCTTTACCATTTGGTGTGACATTGGGTGGCTGTATTTATTAATAGACCAAACTCAAAGGTCAAATGAAATTTTATCGAGCTTTGTGATACACCCAACTTATTTTGGTCCAATACAAAATAATACGCATTTTCTCTATATACTCTCCTATACGAGTTAGAGCATTTTATACTCTTTAGGACTATGGAAAAACTATACTCCTAAGGATCACCATCGTCCAATTGAATCATCGGAGATGACCAAAGGAGCACGATTCTTTCATGGTCCCCAGGATTACCGTATCCTCATAAAAGGATATTTTGAATATAAAGTAGAGCAATTTCATGAAATTGTAAAAAAATAGTCAATATAAACCGAAAGGAAGCGAAGAGCAACCCAGAGCTCCCAAATATATAGGGAGAAACAGCGGTGCAGAGAGAAGTTGGAGAGAGCTCAGAAAGAGAGAGAGAGAGGGAGGGAGACGACATTACCTGTATTATCCCAAAGGCGAGGTTTTAATATTAGGATTTGAGAGCTCTGCAAGTGCTGGGCCTTTGCCCTGTATGCAATAAATCCATGAGCTTCTGCACCCAATGGATCCAGCTTCTGCCCATGCCCCTTCTTCCATTGAAGATGATGAATGGGGTGAGCCTTTCTCTCTCTAACCATCCTACATTAATCACTATTTGCTTATCTTTCTAAAACAGCAATTTGATCAAGTTGTGTGTTGGGGACACTTGCATTTTTCGTTTAAGAGGAAAAGCTAATGCGTATGTGATTGGCCATTTGTTTTATCAGGATAGGTATGCAGATTTTATATGTTAGGATACTGAGATTTATTCTATTGGATCTTATTGATTGGCAGCTTTATTATGTTTTTCCATAAAAAATTGTTCTGTTTCCTTTGATATTATTTTTCTGCTTGGTAAAACTATTTGGATTTTCTTGCTTCTGATATTTGGCTTGGGTCTGATTAATTGATAATAAGTTTATGGATGTTTACGACTATTGATGGGACTGGAAATAGTATTTGGGTGTTTGACTCTAGACACAGTATGCCATTTGTTCTGTTTGATTTAGAATTTTTTTGTATGCATGATAGCTGATATAATTGGAGCGTAGAATCCTGTCTTTACTAGATCAAGCTGTGAGCTTTTCTATCTGTAGTTAATATGTGATATTATGCACTGAGGTGCATTGATGTAATTTGGTTCTTCTTCTTTAACGTTGGACTGAGGGAACTGGGTTTTGATTTGTTTTGTCTTTCTTCGTTTTTGTGATAATGGCTTCTTTATTTGGTAATGATTTTCTTTGTGTTTCATGCTTCTAGAATTGACAATGGGTGTGCATAAGGAAGCACGTGCACACCCCAAGCATATAAATACAAATATATGTAGGAAAGGTATACTATGCTAGCATTTATTTATTTATGGAAAAGTTTATATAAGGGCGAGGCCCTAAACAATCAAATTAAGGCGTACGTAAAAAATTTTACTGGAAGAGGTTGCTTCAATGCCCAAAAATCCTTAAATTGATCATCTCAACCTCAAGATGCATGGACATGAGAAAAAGTGGATTTCAAGTCTTGAAAATAGTACATCTTGTAATGCATTTTCGGACCGTCAATTTTCAAGATTTTCAAGTTTTCATAGATCTGCTTGATCTACACTATGTTTGAAGCTTTAAATTGTATAATTAGAGATGAAATCAATTTCAGGACATCACAAATGTTTCCAGTATTGAAACAACATTTTTCAACACTATTTGAAGGTGTACCTTACTTTGATTGTTTAGGGCCTCAACCTTATACAAACCATGCCCTTTATTTATTTATTTTTGGGGTTCTAGAGTGTGAGAGAGGGTTGGGTTCAGACAGTTATTTAGCACAGACAGTTATTTAGCACCGCACAAGCTGTCCGTCCAATGAACAATTGGGGTTTTATATTCCTCCTCTTATAGTCCAGCAAAAAACTTGGACAAACTTTTATAGGAGTAACAAGCAAAATGAGACTCTTTGTTGTTTGCATTGATTGAGGAGATGCTAGCATACTGTTTTAAACACTAATGTTGTCATTGCATAGAAACACATACATGTGTGTTCTGTCTGTATGGAAACGTTTTTCTAGATAAAGCTTGCCATTATGTTCGGTTGGATTTTGGATCACATGAGGTGGTGTTTGGCTTTCGGAAGCTGTAGATTCAATGGATTCATTTATTTATTTACAAACATAAAGGATTTGTTTGTCTAGAATTATCAAGGTTCAAGGAACTAGAACCCATATCACCTTCTCGGGCAATTTGTTTCCCATGGAATCTGTTTCCTCCAAAACATGTCCCATTTTTTTTTCTTTGTCCCAATTGATTACCATGTTTGGGAATCCCACACCCTTTTCCTCAAGATGAGAAAAAGGCTATGATTTTGGTCGAATCAGAATCCTTTTGATGTAAAGTTTCCAATCTGCTTTCTTGTTGATAAACAATTCGACTAATTGATAAAAGTTGGGGAGTTCTGACCTAGTTCTCACATTCGCTGATAAAACATCTGTGGTCGTTCAAGTATGGAGGATGAGATCTGTATCTGAAACTATTTCTAAAGAGGCTACAAGTGCATCAGGTACATACTTCATCTTTTGTAGATCTTCTGACATTGATAAACCTCCCTTCTTGCTATGTGAAGTTGCGATTTGAGCAAGGAGCAGTGGTGTTACAGTAGAACTGATTCAACTTAATAATATCTGGTCTGTTCAATGTCAAACAAGATAATCTGGATTGATCTCCAGCTTATCGGCGCCCTCCTTTTGTTTTGGAAACTTCAAGGGAACTGGGTTGGATCCATCTATAAATCGGTAGAGGTCCATGTTGTTCATTATTGACAGCATTTGAGTTTTCAACAAAAGAAAATAGTCTTGGTCAACTTTAAAAGAGACAAGGCTTGCAAGATTGTGAAAGTTTTTGACTCCCATGGGTGTCACATCAGTTGAAGAGGTTGATTACACCGTAGAGCAACATGAGGAGAAGAACAAAAAAGAGATTGGAGTGAAAAGAATCCAAAAGATAGGGGATAAGTCTGATGGCATATTAGGAATGAAAGCTTAGTCACACTCTATGGATCTGAGTGATGTATTTTAATAACAGAATGCCCTTTGCTATACAAGAGGATAAGATATGGTTACAAGATTATGAATACAAAATCAAGATGGTTGAACAAGAATATGGTTGCCATAAACAGTTAATAGGTAAAATGAAGATTTTCTCTTTCTTATCCTTTACAGAAAACTAGAAACATGTAAAATCAGATTCTTTTTATGATAAATGGGTACCCCAAAGGACTTAGGCGAGGGACATGTTATCCAGGTTCCCATTCACGAATATGGTGGGATGTCTTAGTATAATACTGAAAAAGGTGCTTATTTAGGTTGGATCAAGGTTTCTCCCATGGGGAGGGCATTTTAGGGACTTCACACCTTCAATTTGTGGACGATATGGTTACTTTTGTGGTTCTAGGTGGACCTTGGATCAAAATTTGTCTTGTGCTATGTAATACAAATCTGTTTTGCTAAGTGTGTGGGTTCCAATGTAGATTTGAAGATCAAGAAAGTTGTAGTTCGAATACAAAATGATGTTGTCATTGATTTGAGATTACTTGGGCTGTTCGACTTGTTATAGTTTTTTGTACGCTGCATCTCAAAACAAATTTTTTTTTTTCGTGATTCGTGTTGACAGTTTCTCAAAGGAGGAATTGTGTGATGCGTGTGCTTGTAGGCAAGGGCCGAACAATGCCCTAGGCGTATGTGTAGGATTGCAATTGCGCTTCACTTATTTTTATTTTTTATTTTTTATTTTATTTTACAGATGTTGCGGTCCCTATGGACATTTGTTTATTTATTTGGATTTTAAAAAAGGAAAACATACTCTATATAAGGGAATTTTGTAGTTCAGCATGAGCTAACTAAAAGTTCACTGTGAGCGAGTAGACCTAAAGTTGACCAAAAGCAAACTTAAACTTTACCACGAGGTAAACTTTTGACCACGACGGTGGCCCATTGACTTGGATTGCCATGGTGGTCCTTCAAATGTGTGGTAGTCCATGGACTGCCACTTGTAGGATTCCCCAACATATTCTTCCCTTTAGGGGGGGGGGGAAGGCCTCCATGTGTGGCTTCCCCGTCTTTGTGGGAGGGTGCCATGTGTCACCACGTGGATGTGGCACAATTTTTTTTTTTTTGAAAGGCCCTCTCTTATATAAAGGGGAGAAATCAATTAATTCCCTCTCTCTTTTTACTGATTAAAAAAAGAAAAGGAAAAATTTAAAACCTTGTAATACGGAGTTTGTATCTCCATTCTCTTAGTTGTTCTTTAAAAGAGGGAAACTTTTGACTTGAATAATTTGAGATTTAGGAGTCATTTTTTTTGTTGTTGCAAAAATAGTGTTAAATTGAAGCGTATTGAATTCCTACCAATTTGACTACGAAAATCAGCGAAGAGCTTTGATTTTAGAAGATCATCGAGAGTACAACTCGAATATTTTTTGTCGGGCCAGTTGTAAAATGGCAGTGTGCTTGCAGGGACTAATTGGTCAAATCAAATATCCCTTTTTTACTTAATTTTTTTTTGTAAAAGAATCTTTTTTCCTTAAAGCTTGAAAAAATCTTTATTGAGTATTATGAGGAAGATGGAATAATTCACCAAGTTACTGCCCCCTACTTTTAGGCTTTTAGGTGACAAAAAATTGCATGCTTGTGGATATGATGAATGCCATACTTATTAGTTCAAACCTCCCTACTAATTTTTGGGGAGAGGGTTTAATATTGGCATGTTAGATTTTGAAAGATATATACCGTATTCAAAATCTAATGCTACACAATATGAACTCTGGAAAGGATATAAACCAAATGATTTTGGACTTGGCTTTCATATCTATCTCGCGGAAGATCTTAAAACTTTCCAAGAAGCCATGTCCTCAAGTGACCCTCCATTTTAGAGGGAGGTAGTCAACAATGGGGTGGATTTAGTGCTGGCCAATGATACTTGGAGACTAGTTGATTTACCTCCTGGTACTAATCCTTTAGGATGTAAATGAATTTTCAAAAGAAAATAAAAGTGGAAGGCACTATTGAGAAATATAAATCAAGTCTGGTTGGAAAAGATTTTAGACAAAAAGAAGTTGATTTCTTTGACACCTATGCACTAGTTCTACAAATCGCTACCCTTCGCGTACTTATTGCCTTGGCATCGATATATCATCTAGAGATTCACCATATGGATGTTCAAATTGTTTTTGTCCATGAATTAGATGAGAAATTTATATCGAACATCCAGAGGTACTTGTCCTTAAGGGACAGGAACACAATGTATGTAAACTTGCGAAATCCCTATATGGATTGAAACAATCACCAAAATAATTGCATGAAAAATTCAATAGAATTATTTTATTACAAGTATTTCAAATCAGCGATGTTGATTCTCTTGTATATGCCAAAGTTTTTGATGGTGAGGCTGTAATTAGTTATCTGTATGTGGATGATATGCCCATATTTGGTAGTAATATTACATGTGTTGAGGACATAAAGAAAGTATTGTCTTTTGAATTTAATATGAAAGACATGAGGCAAGCTGTTGTGATACTTGGAAGTAAAATAGTGAGT